TCTCCATCTATAATAATTCATGTGTTATACACAGTTCAGTGTATTCAAGGAGTCAAGGAAAAATGTTGTGTGTGGTTCAAGGGTAGACAAGTTGTTCCTAACTGGTGGACTTCATGGAGTGAACTGCCTTTGAGCTGGACTTTACAGGAGAGGTAGGAATCCAACAGATGAAGTGGGAATCCTATGAACTTGAAAGAGTGAATGCACTCCTTTGTGAATTTCTGGAGCACACTGCAGTGGTCTAGAAAGAAATTTGACTGTGTCAGGAATATGATATTCAGATGAAATGTTGTGGAGACAGAGTGCTGTAAACAACAGTGGCCTACAGGTTAGGTGATCTGGAGGTTCACTCTCCCATTAGCTGTATGATCAGGGTCAAACCCTCTGACTTCTCTGAGTCTTAGCTTCCTCACCTGCAAAATAAAGGGGTTGGGCCAAATGACTTTGAACACCCTTCTGGTTCTTATAAAAGACCCATTGCTTTCTGTTCGTTCTGAAATGTGTTATGTTAACTATTTCCTTTATCAAGTGATAATTTCAATGGATATGACAATCTCAGTATTTCTGTACTGAGCAAAAAGGAAGCCTGCAAAAACTATTGAACTGAATTTCCATTTCGGAGAATCATTCCTCGATTTGGTGTTCTTAGGACTATTCCCCGAGTGAGCTGCTCCCAGACTCCAGGCTGTATGAAATGGCCTCCAACCCCTATCAAAGTTGTGTTAGTGCTACTAATCAAGGGCTGGCTTTTTGGAGCTCTTCCAGCTCAGGCTATTAATTTATTTCTTTAAAGATAATTTTAAATGGCTTAGCCTGCCCAATGCAATAATGTTCTTTTCTTTCTCTTGTGCAGGAAAGGATAAACCAACCCACCTGACGGAGTGGATTCTGTCTGCGCTCATGGCTACTGCCTGCTTTCTTCTGTTGATGCTCTTCTTTATATGTCGAATGTAGGTATCTTCTAGGTTTGTTCTAGGGGCACCCAGTAGAACCAACAAGCACTGGCTTTTTGCCCACTCATCACTTATTCCTCCCATCTTCTAGTGAAACAATTGCATGCACAGAGAGGTAAGGCATCAAAACTGGTCATCTGTGGGCCTTTACTGAGATTATTGATGGATAAACAAAAGGGGGAAAATCAATAGCTGACCTATGGAGATACAAGCACCAGGAAGCTGCTGGGAGCCAGTGAAGATCTGCCCTTGAATTTGCTAATAGTGCGTTAATTTTTGTGAAGGCTTGTAAATTATTCAAGCAGCTCTTGATTTTTTTGCTGATTTCCCTTACGTGTTTTGTTGCCGTTTTTGGAGGGCCAGCATGTCCCTTTTTACATGGCAGGTGTTCCTTTCGGTATAGTCGGCTATCCCTACTGTGAGCTGAAATAACAACTAGAACCCCCTGCCATGGCCGTGTGATTACTTCGGACTTGGGCAGGCATTAGCTGGCTCCCCGGCCCTCTTGTCCCCAGCTGGTTAATTGCACGGGAACCAAGCGATGCTTCCTGTGATGACATGCACATATGAAGAGAATCTAGATATCAGGGAAGAGTGTGCTGGTTTCTTTTGCCCCTTTTCCTAAGTAATTTCAAATAGTCCTCCTCCCAGGCCCAGAAACTAGGATTCAATAATGTGTCATTCAGTATATTGAAGAATGTTCTCCCTTTTAGCCCTCATGTGATTTTTGAAAATGGCATTTTCAGAGATGATTGTTTCTGAACAATTTCACCATTATTAATTAGTAAGTTCTTGTGTATACCCACAGGGAAGGCACGGTTCAGAATGGGCTGTTATGATTCATCTAATGTGGGTATTATCAGAGGCTTCCCACATATGATTTTTAAGGATTTAGGAACAATAAAATATATTCATGTGAAAGCAATTCTGAATATAATTTAATTTCTCTTGTATGGTTCAGAAGGACTTTGTGATATTTATGGGTCAGCACTAGGGATGTCAACTGTCATTGTTGATGTACTAGTAGCTGTCGTGTCTTGCCTTCAGAGTTGGATAACCTCTGTATTATCTCTCTCAGTTACTAGCTGTGTGATCATGGGCAAGTAGCTCAACATCTCTGAGCCCCAGGCAACAGCACATGCTGATTTAAATTGGTAGAGCAAGTGTCTTATAATCGTGAACCATTGGTCTGGTTAGAACAGCAGTGCCTACTTTGTAGCGCTGTTGTGAGGATCATAATGAGACGAGGCATATAAAGAGACAGGAACCAGGCCTATAGGGAACACCCAAATGAAGAAATTCACTCTACCAATGAAGATTGGCTCCTTTTCTGCAACTCATAGTCTCAGAGTTGTCTAGAGCTCTAAGAGTTTAATTGACTTGCCCAGGGTCACACAGTCCTTATGTGTCAGGGGCAGGCCTTGAACCCAGGTTCCCCTGGTTCCTGGGCTAACTGTCTCTCTCCACTTCCACCACATTGCCTCAAAGTGCCTGCACTGTACTGTGTGTAAGCTGTTTGTAGCAGTCTTGGTCAATAAGGATTCTGAGTAGTTAGAATGCCAGTGTGTTTATCATAGTGTGTATCTTTCCCCCTCCCCCAAATTTAATAGAGCATTTTTTTTACATTACAATCATATTAAGTATATTTCCACATAAGTCCTGTTGTGAAAGAAGAATCAGAAAAAAAGGGAAAAACCATGAGAAAGAAAAAAACAAAAAGCAAGTGAAAATAGCATGCTTCAATCTGCATTCAGACTCCATAGCTCTTTCTCTGGATGTGGATAGTATTTTCCATCATGAGTCTTTTGGAATTGTCTTAGATCCTTGTATTGCTGGGAAGAGCTAAGTCTATCAAAGCTGGTCATTGCATAGAGTTGGCGTATAATGTTTTCCTGGTTCTGCTCACTTTAATCAGCATCAGTCCATACAAGTCTTTCCAGGTTTTTCTGAAATCTGCTTGCTCATCATTTCT